GAATCGTTACTAAAATATATTTCATTTTTTATCGGGATAGCAATGGTCAGTTAAATGAAGGTTTTTACGTGGTTCGAATGTTGAAAGGTGAACAACAGTGACAAGCTTTACGTGTACGTACCATCTTAAGAATATAAATGCAAGAAAGACATATTATTTGCGGCTGTTGGCTCGATTCCTAGCAGCTCCTTTCGCAGCACGTTCGTGGATGAGCTGGATGAAGCGACCCCAATTCGTACAGACGGTTTTACGGGCTGTTTTAGATTTCACGGCTGAGATAAAACGCATAGCGCGGAGCTAGAAGCAAAGCTTTATTTTTGCTCGAATAATACGTCGAATAATACGTCGAATAATACATCGCCGTTCTATCCCACTTAGATTCGCTTCGAACACAACAGCCATTTATTTTCTTCTTAAGCGCTTTTTCGGACTAACACGACTTGTAAGTTCGTTGCATTTCGTTGCAAGAGCAAAAGAAGATTTTCTTCCGAAGTGAAACAAGATACGGAGTCTAGGAGCACGATTTCTCGCTTTTTGATCTTACTTTCTCTTTCCATCTTTGACTTCTCCAAACGGATTACCACCCAGCCGTTTCTTCTTTTCCAAGCACTTTTCATGCTATCGCCAGAATTCAAATGTTCACCGTACGATAACTAACTTAGTTTCTCTATCCAAAGAGTAGAGTTATTTTTCCAGGGAAACATTCATCCGTCGTTTCGGCGAGTTTAGCGAAAAGCACGAAAATGCTGAGTTCGGTGTCGTCGTCAACGAAATGATAAATGCGACGTTTTTACATACCGAGCTAATCCACCTAAAGTTTTTCCTTTCTGACGCAACTTTGACTACTCCTACTAACTACCTACCCCACAGACCTACTACACGGTCTGTTAGTCCTCGCGCAACCGCAATCAACCAGGGAGGGAGCTCTAAGCTCGTTTACCTTGTTTTTCTTTTTTCCTTTTTTCCTTTTTTCCTTTTTTCCTTTTTTCCTTTTTTTTACCATTGATTTTTCTATTTGAAAACGAAATCGAAAACATTTCTATCCAACTTGTTAGCATTAGCAAAGCGACTTATCGGAAAGTTGTCACGTAGCTCTTGTCTAGTTGGGATGGATTAATACGAGTTACAGCAAACAAAGGTAGTTTCTATTTGTAGATAAGTTTTTCCACGGTTAGCGGTTCTCCGTACTTTTCTTTGGCAAAAGAGAAAGAGAAAGAGAAAGAGAAAGAGCCGGAGCTCGAGGTCAGATATCGATTTTCCGCGTTGGCACCCTCCGCGATCCTCCTAAAGCCTTGGGCTTCATACACAGTGCCGAGAAATTGAAAAGATATCCTTCTCTTTTCGAAAGATGAACATCGAAGGTACTTTGGCTCGATGATCGAAAATCATCTCGCGTCACTTAACAAGCTTTCAAATGCGCAAAGATGACGCATTGCCTTTATATTCGATTATATTCGATTATATTCCTTTATATTCCTTTATATTCCTTTATATTCGTTCTAATTCATAAAACTATGAGAAAATGATTTTCACCAGCTGTTTTTTCTTTTCATTCAAGGGTTGTTGTTTCACTTGCATTGGAATTGTATGCGGAATCATCGGCTCGAATTATTGTCGAGCCGTAAATATTCTCGAGATTGGGAGGATGCACGTCGTTGAGAGACGTAACGGTGATGCTCGAGGATTTACAGAAGTGTGGAAGCAACGGGTTGGAAATGCCGAAATAAGGGTAACAGGTGCTATATCCACCGCGATCCTTGTGTACGTCTCCCCATCCATACATCTATTTATGTCCTATATTATTGATATCTTTTCTTGGCCTTGTCACCAGGTCGTATTTCTAAAATCTATTATGCGTTATAAAATTAACAAATCGTAGTCTTAGTTAGCTCTTTTTTTTTAATTAAGCCGATTTAATGGATCGAATTGATATGCAATTTGGTGCTGTCGAAATTCGTCCTGGCTGACGACGTATTGGAAATTCCATTTTCCGCGACGCCTATTTGCTGGAACATTTTACTTTCGGTCAACGTATTTTTTTGTAGTTAAGCAAAATCTCCCTGACTCCGTGGATTATTTATTTATTCTCGGAATGATTGTCTTGCTTCCTCTACGGAAGCCGTCGTCGAATTCATTTCTGATATCTATCTCTCGAGAATTGTTTCGCTTTTTGCGATTAATTGCTTTCTTTTTTTGTGTCGATTAATTTGGATCAATAATAAATAATGAAAGTGCCGGAAAAAAGGAAGCACGGTGTGCCGTGAGGAAAGATAAACAATAATTTATCCGCGGTCGAAAGCCAAAGTGGAAGCGGAAGGAAAGGAAGAAAAAGAACGGTGACAGAAGAACGAACGGATAAATTGATGTGGGAGAATAAGAAGACAGGAAAAGAAGGAAAAATACGATTGGTCGAGAAAAAGAAAGCCGGTTTGCTGTTTTTGGCTCTTTTCCAATTTTTGATGCTGTCTAAGTGTGTTGGGAGAGAGAGAGAAAAAGAATTTTAACGTTCACGCCCGAGCATCGTATTCTTTTCTCCAGATGACGAAAAAGATGACGAAAAAGAGATATTATCGTTGGTTGAAATTTCATTGAACGAGAGGAAATCGTTAGATCGAAGAGAAAACAATAGAATTCGATTAGACAATGATCGGTTGGAATTGTACAGCTGCTTACACTCGCACGGTGCTCGAATGCGTTTGTGCAAACTCGGAATTGCAAATGCCACACGCCGGAGATATTATTGTCTCTTAGTTTTTCTTTCTTAGAAATAGAAAAATTTGTATGGCGTCCGAGAGTAAGATGGTAAGATGGTAAGATGGTAAGATGGTAAGATGGCCGTCGAACCTTGTGCCAATTTCGAGGCCAAGCGAATTTCTAAGAAACATGTCATTGACGAACGCGGTGATTTTGCTTCGTAGAGGGGAGGAAGTCTATTGGTCGGATAGCCCGTCATCTATTATTCACGACTGAGAAGAGCTGGATGTTAGGCGGGACGTAATTGTGAATATTTTTGCCGCATCTGTGCTGTCGCTCAAGAACCATGGCCGACGTCCAATTGTCTTTTCGACCAAGCCAACTTCGTAGTAGTTAAAGCCTAGGTCGAACCTATGGCAAAATTGGAAAACCTGCCTACCTTAGAATTCCTCGTCGACCCAAGTTGCTTGTTCTTCGATACTCTAACGGAGAGGGAATGGATCATAGATTTATTGCATCATCCCTTTAAAACCGGCTGGCTTTTATTCTTTGCCGATCATTTTTCTCTCTTACAATTTATAGCGTAGAGCTTTCGAAGAAGAGAAACTTGGTACGCCATCGCCGTCATTCCTGGATACTGAAATATTTCTTAAAAAGAGGAAAACGCTTGGCTTCCTTCTTGTTCCGAGAGAGTGCAAGTCCAACATGAGAGAAACTCGCCAAAAACTTTCCGACAACGTTTCGTTACTTGTCGCATAGCTCGGGGCTGAATCGTCAGCGTTAAGTCTGTCTGTGTAGGAGGAGTCCGAGTTCGTATCCACTTCTCCGATGCTCTATAGCTCTACCTATGGTTAATGGGAGAGATAGAGATAGAGWGAGAGAGAGAGAGAGAGAGAGAGAGAGAGAGAGAGAGAGAGAGAGAGAGAGRKACGACTAACGGAGACAAACTGTGTGTTTGCCCCTTCATTACCCCCGGGTAAATACCAGCCAGTTTTAATTACGGCCTCTACACTGCAACTATATCTCTTCTTGCTTGTTATTTAGTTACGCGCTAGCCTAAGCTATCTAACTTTCTTACCGACGTGGTTAAATAGGGGTTCTGTTCCTTGGAAACGAAATTCAATCTTCGTCCGTTAAACGGGTCGCGCTGCGCTGCGCCGCGCCGCGCCGCGCCGCGCCACGCGGTTTTACCATCTAAAGCGATACTTGTAGTGCTACATAAGTTGTTGTTTTTATTTGATTTCGCGTTATTTTAGCGTCGAAAGTAAAAACGGTAAAGATCGAAAGACTCGTTTAAAGAACGATCGACGTTACAGCTGCCGGATCAGTTCGTCCATAAACATTAGATAACGGAAGTGAGAGGTGAATTACCAAGATAAAAGCCGTGCTGGAAGAAGAAAGAAGGGAAGAAGGAGGGAGGGAGGGAGGGAGGGAGGGAGGGAAGGAAGGAAGGAAGGTAGCGCGAGAAATATTGGTCGAAGGGTGGAACTCTGGGCTCCTCTTATCACGCGATTCTCAACCTTTGTTCTTGCTTACTTTTCAAAGCGAGAACGAGAAGGAGGAACGATGGGGGAGTGCAGGGGGAATGTTATCTCAAAGCTTGGAAAATCCACTTTAATCCGTAAACCGCGCGCAATGCGAACGACACGACGTTCTCAGCTTGTTTGCTTGTCGAATCGATGAAGTTTCCGAAAGGACCCGAGCGCCGAAGAATTCGTCGTCTCTCGGTAAATGGATTCGAAAAGATCCCTTGCTTTTCTCCTCCTTTCTTTTCTTTTTTCACGAACAAACGGTTCGCAGTCTTTCTTGCGAGATCTAAGAAAACTTGGAAAGCTCCCAAGCTACGTGTGAAATATTACCAAACAGATATTTGATATCGACAGTAGAACGCCTCTCTCTCTCTCTCTCTCTCTCTCTCTCTCTCTCTCTCTCGCTCGCTCGCTCGCTCTTCATTTTATTCTATTTATCTAGGCTTATGTGTTACTAACCTTTTGCTATTACATTTTTCGGTGGGAGATATTTTGAAGAAATAGTATATTTGAAAATAGCGTGGGACACTTGTTCCGTTGCAAGCTGTCGCTTTGTATCCTACTTCTCGTAGATTTAGATTTTTCTCGAAGCTTCCAGTCGTAGAGGAATTCACCTATGTAGGTATTGCTCTAGTGTCGAGCTGAATAATGCATGTCTTTTACAGCTAGTATACGACTTGACACGCGCGCTTCAACGCCTAGATCCATTCGCGAATATATTCAAGGGCCAAGCAATATTTAGACTTAACAATTTGTGGTTATATATATATGTTACAGGAATCGCCATCGACATGAATTGGCATCATTGACGTCGTCATCGGAAGTTTATGCGACAAAGAGTGTTGGATGCACTTATCTGAACAAGCCGAGAATTACACACGTTCGTCGAGGGGTGCGTAAAAACGTAAGAATATTATTTTGTTTCTTCTCTCATGGATTTAAAGCAGACTACCGTAATCGTGGCTTTGACAAAATTCGAGGCGATTCGGACGATAAATGACGACTCCTGTTGCTTTTCGCGGTAGGCAAAATACATTATAACGGAGTTACCAAGCTATGAATAAATTTCACGCGAGAGAGATTATATAAAAGATAGAAAAAAGATAGAAAAACCGAGGCCGAGTAGATTATTTCCTTAAGAAGAGAACAAAATTACAAGTTGTTTTCCATTTGTATCCATTATGCGGCGCAGATATAGTTTTTTTGCGATGGCGAAATAGTTGGGAAATCGTTGGGAAATCGAATGGATTGCAACGCTAAAGTTAGAACAAAGTATCGTCGAGTAGGAGGTGGTAGGGTAAAATGTTGAAGCTCGCAAAAACCTCGCGAGGCAACGGTATAGTATTAGAGGGTGAGGGAGAGTCGCTCAAAAACATTTACGGTGAATCGGATTAACGTGGGTATTTAATTTCGCCCGCGGCTTCCTCTCCGGTGAAATAAAGAGGGACCGAGCGGAAAAACAAAACGGAAATCCTTTGAATAAGTGTGTGTGTGTGTGTGTGCGCGTGTGTGCGCGCGCGCGTCTATGTACGCGGCTATGTGCAAGTCTGCCTACATATATGTATAAATACTTTGCAAGACGCGCCTTCGTTCTTTGTCGATTCGAACGAGAAAGGGAGAGAGAGAGAGAGAGAGAGAGCGAGAGAGAGAGAGGGGTCAACCAAAAGGGACGTGAATTCTCTTCGGTGAAATCTCATCTCTTTAATAGAAGAAAGTTTTGCAGCCGTCGCTTCCCTCGAGCTTACGTACTCGAGTATCTGATTTCTGATTGATCGCACTCCAAATGCTCGACTGTATTTGTCCTAACTCAGAGACGTTTTACTACATCTCTGATATTCGTAGAAAGCTCTTACGATTTTTAATCATTTTAAGAAGAAAAATCTACATCGAACACGCGGGACACGGGTAATATATTAAAGTCACCAGATACCAAGACTGTACTTATAACTGTATTTATAATATGCGGGATAAGAATTTTATTCAAGATCCATCCAAATGAAGATATTAATTAGCAATCATTCTTTAATCAAAATGTATTATTCTACTATGAGTCTTATATCGTCTGCAAACAAGTTCAAATGGCTCGTTAAGAAGATAGCTGGAAATCAAATATTTACTTTTAGAAAATTCCTAAAAGTTCTATTGTTGAAAGAAATAAATGTTTAGTTTGATATCTAAACAGATTGGATTGACGCGAGTATGTTCTTTTATATAAAATACAGACTGTTGTAACAGGTTACGTGATTCACCACTCCGTATATCTCGAATAAATCTATGAGAGACGAGGGATGACATTTCGAGATAGCATGGCGATCTTTGGTTTGCCACCCTCGCCATTTCTTTTTCTATCTTTCCTTTTTATTTAGGTTCTACAAACACGTTTTTGACGTGGCAGACGTCATTCGCGAAATGTCTTTGCCAATGTATTTGACCGACACTCGCATATTTTTCTGCCGTATGTAAAACGCACAAGGCGATTTTCCCTGTCGCACGTCCCCGTCTCTCATAGCAAATCTATTCCAATATATTTATGGGATTTTCTACATCTATAATAAATAGCTAAAGCTATATACCTAAAGGACATGGAATGGATTTGTTGTTAATGATTTCGTTGAAATCAATGTGGATGTACTAAAAGAAAAAGATTGATCCTTTGGACATCATGGCATCATCCGTCTTCCTTGCAATTCTTTTTATCTTAACTCTGTCGATTTTTTCTAACGAAGCGATTATACTTTATTCGAGAGAGTAGAAGCATCTCGAAGGCTTGCAACTGGAGCTTTGCCTCCGGCACATCTTTTTACGTCGATAGTGCAATTCTTTCACGTCATTTGCTCCAAAAGAAATAGCACGAATGCTTCTTTTTGGACTAACGTTCAAACGCGATATCTTCTTAATTACCGAACCTTTTGTAAGCGAAATGAGGCGAAAGCGCATGTTAAGAGAAGAAAGAGAAGGGAAGAAAAGAAAAGAAAAGAAAAGAAAAGAAAAGAAAAGAAAAGAAAAGAAAAGAAAAGAAGAGGTCCGATTGCAAAGGCAACGGAGGCTTAAGGAAATTTTAGCTCGTAAGGGGCATTTATATGTAAATGGCCCCGTCGCTATAGAGGTCTCGGAACGAGAAGAACGAAGCTAACGACGAGCAAAAGAAAAACGGAGTAGAATAAGGGTGGAAAAGCATTTCGTTCGGACTCTGGCCGTTAATTTATTTCGAGCTTTCGCTTGTCTCTTTTTTCTTCGGCCATTTCTCTCTTCCTTCCTTTCCTTTTGCTCGATTTCTCTCGATTTCCTGTCACCGGTTACTCTCTCATCCATCCGAAGTGCCGTAGAAAAGTCCGCAACTTCTCTCCGCGATCGACTTTCAAATTGCTTTCCCTTTTCTTTGCTCTTAATTACGCTTCAGCCGCAAACAGTCGCTTGCTTTCCCGTTTACTGGTAACGTTCTCGCGCTAAACTTTGCCACCTTACTCTATAAAGAACACGCTAGTAATTCAAGTTTTTCACGAGATTCGTTACAAAGTCCAAAGTAAATCAATGTCGCAAATATGTACGCGAGCTGTCGTTATGTTTAAGTTACGACATTGACTTTCGATTGGTCATTTGAACGAACAAACGAACAAACGAACGAACGAACGAACGAACGAACATTTTTAACCATCTTCTTTTATTTTCATCGTAGACACGATTCTTTACCCTCTTCCTGCGTAATTTTCTATTCGTTTTTCGCTCGACGATTCTCCCTTCCGTCACATCAAGAAAATGGAACTGTAAGCCTATAAGCCGCTATCTGTAAGCTTAAAGTACGATGTGTTTGTACTTTGGGAACACCTGACTGACGTGAATCAACAATTACATTCCTCGTGATGCACGGATATGTGCCTTTAACTTGAGCACCCTTGGATTATCATCTACGTATGGTTGATGCATGTACGATCAATATGTCTTTTGAACTTTTGTTTTTGCATTTTGCTCTTTCTCTCGTAGCTTTGCTCTCTCGTAGCTTTGCTCTCTCGTAGCTACTAACAGAAAGATAGACGTTGCATGGCAAGAGAACAAGTACTGCGACGGGCACAATGCTTGGTTCCATGTAGCCAATCATTGGAGGATCCTCCCATTCCCTGTTTAATCGTCTCAGCAAGTTGGGCTTCTGCGAGCCGATAATGAATACGTCCCGTAGTGCAGTTAGCTACATCTGCAACCGACCATCGCAACGCGAAGAAGACTACGAAAAAGCTTTCAACTTTTTCGACCTTTTTTTGAATGTTTTTCTTTATCAAAACACATTTCTACGCCAAAGTTATTGTCGAAATGGTAAATAAAGGATCATCAAAGGATCAACCTAGACGGTAGAACGCTAAATAGTAGATCGCTTACCCCAATTTCATCCATGTTCAAATGATTATTCATAAAGAAATTCTTCCATTATCATATAAAATACGCAAATTTTGAAATGTTTCGAAAACTTTGCTATTATCAACAAATCTTCTTTGTCAATTTTCAATTGTTTTCGTATTTGTTGAATAAATTGCAAAGATGCGCGATCTGTGTGAGTGTATTCGAATTGGTTGGTACTTTCCATGCAAAATGTAGGTTATCTCAGTTGCAACGGTCAAAGGATTCCACAAACAGATGTTACCCAACCAATCGAAAAGTAGTTTGCATATTTAATTGCATACCGCTCCATTGTTTTATCTCGTAAAAAGAGTTGAGTGGCCAAAGCCACGCAGAGCGACCCCTCCCCCCTCCCCCTCCCCCTTCTCTCCCTCCCTAGAGCCGACATTATTCTAAAACGGAATTTGACTTGAAACTGTGGATTTTGCATCGTTTGGACTACTCGCTTACTTGTTAATCAAATACTTCATCGACTTGGATGAATTATGCAAATGTTATTCTCATCGATGGAGAGTAGTTTAACATCTTAGCGATTTATAATTGTTAATATTGTCGTATTCCCTTTCTCGTTATGGAATTGTTCTTTTAGGAAATTTCGCTGGGTTTTCGGTGTTGTTATTATAAACAAATTTGAATCGATATTTGGATGTGTCGTCGTTTCACGCCTCGGTGATATTTCTCTGCTATTCAGCGGCCATTCGAAATTGATTTTGGTCCACTTTCGAAGATCGGCTCTCGAAATATTATACATGCGCGTATAACATTCCGCTGCTGATGACGTCATATTGTCCGATATTCCGGACGTTTTACCGATTTATAAACGGGTCGGCTCACCTCGGCGCGCTATTTCAACGCGCTGTTTCAACGCGCTATTTCAACGCGCGCGCGGATACGTGTGCCCTCTATATACCCACCCGTCTGTATATGGTATACGCATAGCGATAACGTCGATCCGTTCGTGTCACGCGCCAAGCCGGCTAATAATATTTCCAATGCACGCTCTGATCAAATTATATCTTACCCATCGACTCGATAACTTTATTTTTCCTTTTTTTTTTTCGTGTTCCACAAAATGAATAACAGCTACGAACGGAATGACAAAAATGCTACTACTTGCAATAGTCGTAATTGTATAATCACTTTGTAATTTTCATATTATGTTCGTTCGTAGTATCCTTAACGTAGTATCCTTAACGTTTCCAACAGACGCTCGATCTACAATCTGGGTAGACATTTTGCTAGGTGAGCACGAAACACGCATATATGCTCCCAGGGGCACGTCAGCTCGATCGGACAAGAATGTCAGCTGGCCACGTCATGGACCACCAACTGTCAGTCAATTTCGTCTATGTAATACTACCCTCTCCTTTTCTCATTCTGCTTTGTGCCCTTCTAACAGCTACATTTTACTGACAAATTACGATTTATTATCTCGCCTATTAATTGCGTCTTCTTACCGCATTGACACCGTGAGTAATTTCCCTCTTTTTTTATCCACATTTGTTTATGCCAATT